ACTTGAAGGAGGCTTATATATATCTTGACGTGTGAAAAGTCATGAGCTGGCAGTATGTAAATGTTATGGTAGGTGCTACTATTGTAACTTGACATCATGAATATGTCCAGACCTATATCAGTCCTGATTAAGTGACTCTATGTGAATACAGATAGGCTGGTTATAGCAAGATGGCGTGATTTATCGAATCTCCAACACTGCATAACAGTTGGTGTCAGGTGAATGTGGCGACATTTGACATCTTTCGATCTACGGTACTACGTACGAGCTTGGGAACACATGTCACTGGTCGAGCATGGGTCCTTAATAATCATTACCAGAGTTGTCTAGTTAGAATTGCCTGTAGGAACTACCTCAAATGACATCCACACTCAATGCAGAGGTTACTAGACATATGTACAATGTATCAGAGCAGCGTTTTTTAGTTTCAATGAGATATGGAAACGAAAGTCCCACTAGGGTGCCACTGTTAATACTACGACATCGGACTAAGTGCCTTGGCTGGAAACGTGAGGTCGATAATTGGACCCTACATAGCTGACAACATGTGGCGTGATCCAATGAGACACGGTACCTGTTATTTCACGTTGATGCAAAGTTTCGGATGTGATGCAGACAGATTGAAGCAATGGATCCTCGCTGTTAACAAGGCACCGTGCACATTAGTAGTTGTTTCATAACCATATAAATCCTATATATATTCTCAGTGTTACTGTGCATTACTTGTCATTATTATTCAATTGTAATATACGGGATATATATATATATGAAGAAATATAGTTTTAAGGTGTGCTATAATTATGGAATAAAGTGCTCAATATAGATAGAGAGTATGTAAAAATAAATATAAAAGTGAACATTGAAGTCAACACTCAGAGGCGACAGGTTCTTTCATGCAATCGCCAGATGATTGCGTCCAGCATGAAACATCTTTAAAAAAACATGCTTCGGTGTACAAATGCTGCCTAATATTATATGTTTATAAAGAAAAAACAATTGATCCGCAGAACGAAATTCCAGAGAAAAAACTACTAAGACATATTACTATATTAATTGAACTATATACTTAGTTCATGTCATGTTAACTGAAAAAGACAAGCAAAAAAAGAATTCGTGGATTTAGCATATTACAAAATTCATATAAAAATTCTCACTTGAAATTTTGCATTTTAGCGTTGAGACTCGCATGTTCCGAGATTGTACAACCGTCAATAAATAGCACATACTTTAAAAAAACATCTTTGGGTCTACAAACAATTATTTCGTCTTCAATTTATAACTTTAAAGGAAAAAAATTAGAGTCTGTTAACTCTGTGGGGGATGAACAAATATAAATATGCCCGAGAAAGCCTCTACAGCAGGGATTGGATAGCCGCCTTCGCAAACGGGTGTGATCATAAATATATATAAGATAAAATTTATGATATTTGGGAAAGAAGAGTGTCCCCAATGTCGTCTAAGAACAGAACCAAACATTTTGCATAAGCAACATTTGAAGAGTGCCCGTAATGTCGTCTCAGAACAGAACCAACCATTTTCCATAAGCAACATTTGAAGAGTGCCCGTAATGTCATCTAAGAACACAACCAACCATTTTGCATAAGCAATATTTGAAGAGTGCCCGTAATGTCATCTAAGAACAGAACCAACCATTTTGCATGAGCAACATTTGAAGTGTGCCCATATGTCGTCTAAGAACAGAACCAACCATTTTTCATAAGCAACATTTGAAGAGTGCCCATAATGTCGTCTAAGAACAGAACCAACCATTTTGCATAAGCAATATTTGAAGAGTGCCCGTAATGTCATCTAAGAACAGAACCAACCATTTTGCATGAGCAACATTTGAAGAGTGCCCATAATGTCATCTAAGAACAGAACCAACAATTTTGCATAAGCAACATTTGAAGAGTGCCCGTAATGTCATCTAAGAACAGAACCAACCATTTTGCATGAGCAACATTTGAAGAGTGCCCATAATGTCATCTAAGAACAGAACCAACAATTTTGCATAAGCAACATTTGAAGAGTGCCCATAATGATATCTAAGAACAGAACCCACCATTTTGCATGAGCATCATTTGAAGAGTGCCCGTAATGTCATCTAAGAAAAGAACCAACCATTTTGCATGAGCAACATTTGAAGAGTGCCCGTAATGTCGTCTCAGAACAGAACCAACCATTTTGCATAAGCAATATTTGAAGAGTGCCAGTAATGTCATCTAAGAACAGAACCAACCATTTCGCATAAGCAACATTTGAAGAGTGCCTCTAATGTCATCTAAGAACAGAACCAACCATTTTGCATAAGCAACATTTGAAGAGTGCCCGTAATGTCATCTAAGGAACAGAACCAACCATTTTGCATGAGCAACATTTGAAGAGTGCCCGTAATGTCATCTAAGAACAGAACCAACCATTTTGCATAAGCAACATTTGAAGAGTGCCCATAATGTCGTCTAAGAACAGAACCACCCATTTTGCATAAGCAATATTTGAAGAGTGCCCGTAATGTCATCTAAGAACAGAACCAATCATTTTGCATAAGCAACATTTGAAGAGTGCCCGTAATCTCATCTAAGAACAGATCCAACCATTTTGCATGAGCAACATTTGAAGAGTGCCCGTAATGTCATCTAAGAACAGAACCAACCATTTTGCATAAGCAACATTTGAAGAGTGCCCATAATGTCGTCTAAGAACAGAACCACCCATTTTGCATAAGCAACATTTGAAGAGTGCCAG